TTAACGATGACACTGCCATTCCCTATCATCCCTTCTAATGAATGCCTTCTGATCTGCAATGGCGCTTGAACCAGTTGGGATTGTGAGCCTGGGACTTGAAGCAACATGTGTCATGGTGGGTTAGAATACACACAGTTGCATGGGCAGTGATTGGGACTTTGTCCAGTAGCCTGAACAGATTGGTATCACTGCACTAGATAGTGCTATTTTTAAAGAGTTTGATATTAACCGTATATTGCTGCTCTGGGCTCTTTGGTGTGTAAAAAAAGAGATGGGGAAAGAGGCAAGAAATCCTTTTGGCTGTTTTTAAATTAATGGGGATAAAATGGACAGACGTGGGCGTTCTTTTCTATTTATGTACTTCGGGGTGAGTGTGTGTGTGAGGGAGGAAGTCTGAATGTCAGACTAGGTCTTTTCAGTGTAAAACAGTGACTGACTTTTCAGACAATATCTACTGCCTCTCTAAAGCAGCTTTTTTTCCAAAAAGTTTTTTTAATTGTAACTTTGTACATTTTGGATCCATATCATTCAACTGCCCAATGTTGTTCATATGCATTTGGAGCTTTTTAATAGGAGACTGAAAAAAACAGCCACAAGATCATAGGCTATGAATGTATATAACACTTAGCTGAAGTCATTCCAGAGTGTGGAATCATGATCCCTACTCAGAATAATGCTCATAACCCAGAGAAATCTGTATAAATCCATTGACCTATCCGGTCCAAGGAACCCTTGGCTTCTGTGTTAGAAGCCCTTTTTTTACCTTACTAATTTTATTACTATTTAAAAACATATGTAATACCAATGAACTTTGTGACCATTGAAATAAGATCTAAACTCAGCATGTGACCCACAAAAGCAAAAAAAAATACCTGAGGCTGGAGCTTCTCTATTGTAGATAGATAGAAGTGAGCAATATGGGCTTTGCAAAGCAGTGCTGGTTGTCAACAGGGGCAAGAAATGCATGCAAAGCATCGTCTACAGAAATCCTGCCAGTTGTACCTCTGACCTTCAAAACATTTCCATCTGACATTAGTGCATATGCTGCCATAGCGAGGCTCAACAGGGTGTGCTTTGAAATTTTCACTCCTTTGATTTTGTGGGAGCGTCTGCTCATTGATAGTATTTGAACAAGTCACTTTATTATGCAGTAATGTGTGGTGTGTCAGATACTACCCACTAGGAGGACTGTAGGCTTTAGGACTCATCAGCCTCTATATGATTGCGTGAAGCCACACGCTGTGGCAAGTTGTGTGTGTGTGTGTGTGTAATGTTTTCTGAAAATTTCCTTTTGTATAAACCTGCTCTTCACTAGTGACATTTCTCTGTGCCAGTTTGGTGTGAGGGAAAGGCTGCTCACTGTCACACATCACTAAGGTACTTGTTTGCCATACTGCCACTGAACTGGAAGTTTCATTTGGAATCTTCAGCAAAGGGCAATAGGAATGAGTGTTGGGCAGAATCTCTTCCTAGCTTCAGTGCAAGAAAGGAATAGGAGTTCTTTTCTTAGCCCTGGTTGTGGAGAAGTGTCAGCATCTTGGTCGCGATGCTGAGAAGTGCTGAGCACCCACAACTTACATTGGTTTCAGAGACGTGCAGATGGTTGGCACCCCTCACGATCAGACCCTGGACACAGTCTGGCCAGCTGAGCCTCATGGGCAGATACCTTCTGAAAGCAATATGGCTCTATTCAGGCGGAGGGGTACACCCAAATGGCTCAGCTTGTGGGATTGGGGGGCTAGTCTCGGTCAGCCAATATCAGCATTTTAATTTCTCAAAGGCTAAAGTTGTTGAAAAGGTGCTTATGAATGGAATAAAGGAATGATATGAAACATTAACGATATAGAAAACTGGCCTCTGCTTACTCTGGTAGAACTAAGATAACAACTCTTTAATTGAATTATTCTTGTTTTAATGGACATGTTAATAAAAAGGTATGATGTTAGAGTCCAAACCACTGCACTTCATTTCCAACACTGCTGTCTTTGAACTGCCTATTTCCTTATGGGAATTTTTGTACCTGTCCTGTTCAGTAGCAATAAAAGAACCAACTTATTAGAAAAGGTATCTGGATGCATGTGGTGATGGATTGAAACAAAAGACAAGTGAGCGGCAGCAGTGATGTCTTTCCTTTTCTAATGCAATGGCCTGCAATACCGGCCATTGTGAGCTCCTGATTTTCTCTGTTCCATGGTTGAACACAAGACACTGACAAGGCTGTAGTACTCAAAGGATGAGTTTTTAGTTAGTGTAACAGATCCTCTGTACGCACAGTAAAATATCAACGTGAGGGCTACACCAGCACACATGTAAAGACAACCAGTCCTTGAAGTGTTTGTGTGTGTAGACCCCCTAAGCATGAGTTTGGATTCTTTTGGCCAGCATTGTCTCTTGGGGACATGCCTGCAGCTACAACCTGAGGGCATATAGGGCCCAACCAGTTCCTTACTGTCCATGGCAGTGGGACAGAACCCCCGTAGCATCCACATACTCTGCACACTGAGCAATGGTTGGGAGGTTAGTATAATTCATTAGTTAGTGTAGTTAATAGTTGTTTTTGTTACACCTTTTGGCAATACATCTATACGTATGCTTAGGAGCTACCACGGTACATAGCCACTGTGGCTGAGACTAAATCCTCAGGATTTAAAATGTGTCCCTCTTGTGAAGCTGTACAGCTCAATGATTGACACTCTTGAAGACTTCTGTCTCAGGTATATTTCTCTGATAAAGGTTCAATCTGCCGCTCTTTTTCCAAGAGTATAACAAAGCCAGGGAAGTCTCCTAGCTCTTCCTTTTAGAATGCTCAAGGAGGGCCTCTTCAGAGCCTGGGCTTAAAAATCCTGTTAAGCCTCCTCTGTCTCTTTTGAGAAGTGCCCTGTTGAGCTCCCAGGCACATTCTTTGTCCAAGAGTCAGTCCCCCTCTGCTAGGGGGTATGGCAGAGCAGACAAGCACTCTTCCACCCAGCCGTTGTCTGAAACGGGTCGGAAGAAGCATTGCTCCAGGGACAAGCACAGGCAAGGGTCACCCACCCCCGTACGCAGTAAGAGACACAAAACCCACCATGGTTTTGAATCAGCTCATGCCTTCAGCCAAAAGGCAGTTCACAGCCCAGATTGGGTCCTTCTGACACCTCAGCACTAACTGATCATCAGGTACTAGAGATGGCACCTGCAATGCTGGTCTGCACTTTCCCAGCTACCAACTCCTCAGTATGGATAACCTGGGCGCGCATGCTTCTGACACCAGACTCCATGGTGCAGATGTTTCCAGCACAGATTTACTGGGCTCTGAAGACATTCTCAGTCCCGAGTGATCTTATGCTAACCAGGCAACGAGACTCACCCCTACTCTCCTCATTGGCCAGTAGAGGTGCTTCTGTCTTGGTACCGACTTCTAATGTGACACGGTACCTATAAACTCCCCCGGTAAGTCTGGGTTGCAGGAGGATTCTATGACACCTACCAGGGTAGCTCCCCTGCACGAGGAAGAGTATTCATTTTCTTTCTCTCCTTCACATAGTAAGGAAGATGGTCTCCCCCTGCACCTCAGTTTTACACTTCTGAGCATCACTGGTCTGATAGGTTTCAGAAGAAGTGGGCTGTAGTCCACGAAAGCTTACGCTCTAATAAATTTGTTAGTCTCTAAGGTGCCACAAGTACTCCTGTTCTTTTTACTGGTCTGATAGAAAGTCATGGGTCACCCTAATAAGCACAGGCCCTTGGGATCTCAGAGAACATTCATTATGGTTTCCACCCACGTGGTGTCCAACCCTGTATCATAACAGCATGCAAGCTTGGCCATTTTGGGCTCCCTAGCATATGTAACCTAGGATCACCTTCTACTACTCCCTCTAGAGTTAATCTCCCTCCTCTTCAAGACAAGAGATATCTACTCAACAGGGTTAGCTGGCGCAAACCCACAGCCTACAACAAGAACAGAGCAGTGAGGAAGAATAGCAGCAGGATAAGAAAGATCAATTGTTCCCAACAGAAATTTCTTCCTCCTCACCAGATGAGGCAGTCACTCCTCCTCCTCCTCCTAGCCGGCCAGATAATTCAAGGCCTTCCAAGATGCATGGTAGATACTTCAGAGATTCTAGTGGAGGTGATACAAGAAAAGTCACACATTACTAGGCCTCCTGCACTCCTCCCTGCCTGGTAGGTTTGTCATGTACATTACTTGTTAGAACCAGCTAAGGAGTTGTGACAAATCCTAGCATCAGTGGCATCCACTTCCAAAAGAGCTGACAAGTGCTATCAGGTACCCCCTTAGATTAGAATATGTTTACAATACCCCCCTCTCCACCCCCGATCACTAATGATGGCGGCGGCGATAGATGAAAGATCTAAGCAACAGGGGCAGCCAAAGACACAATGTAGGAAAAAGACTCCTACAAAGCTTGACTTATTCAGCAGGAAGGTCTAACTCCTCAGCTAGTCTCCAGATGCACATTTCCAGGTATCAGGCACTGCTCTCAAAGTGCCTCAATTCATAGAGAAGCTTCCACAGCACAGTCCCCTACTGTCTGAGGGGTAGTTAATGGGCCAAACATCTCTTCAGGCAGCTCTAGACCTATCTAATATGGCAGCATATTCAATGACTACTGCCACTGATGTGCAGGGCTTCATGATGATTAGTCCTATACTGCCTGGATTCTGTACTGGTGAAGGAACTGAGGAAGGCCTGCTTAGCCCCTTATGCCCTCAAGTGGTGGGTGGGTGAGGTTATCTATGGAGTAGGTGCAATCCCAGTGGACACTGCTGGCCAAAAGAATTCAATCTCGGGCACATACGCAACAACAGTGGAATCCATCTGGGCAATACATCTCCAAGAATCATAGTTACTGTAAGATAAGTAACAGTTCTTATTGCTTTGTTGGTATATATCTTCAGAAGCTCCAGAACTGGGTAGTCCTGTTTCCAAACCTGCACCAGTTACAATCACATTGTAAATGATGAAGGGGAAGTTTGTCATTTAAACAATTAGCATTCCCTTCTCGTAGAAGAATCTTGTTTTATTTAAAAAATATACATGACTCATTTGTAGAGCAGTCATGCGCTCCCATACATTTCAGACTTACTGAATTATTAGATTCTATGGTACGTTAGTATTTAGTAGAGACTTAAAAACAAAAAACAAGGCATACTCACTGATAGGACTACCACAGACTTAAAAATAAACCTCCCTTCTAAACCAAGGAGAATAGCAGTAGAAAAATATACCATCAGGCTACAATAGCGCTTGGCTGTAGGAAAATAATCTTGACATCCAAGATCAAATGGTTGCCGTATTTGTATCTAAACAACTGCATGTTATTCCCCGTTTGCTTTCCTAATTTAAATACACTCATGTGACAAAGCTTGCACCACAGCAAGGTTCCTATCTCTTGCTATATATGCAAAGGAAAAGGCAGTGTTTGAAAGAGAAATTGACTTATGACATGGAAAGAAAGTTCTCATTTTCAGAGGTAAAAGGAGCTGTTCAAGCTAGACGTTAGGTTGTTAAATAACTTCATTTTTTTGGTAAAGCCATCACTTTCCGAAACGTCAGGTTGATTCTTGGGGCTAGCACCTTCTTGCGGGTGGGCAGGCTGTGATACCAGTACACATTAGTGGGGTAGTTCATCATTAGTAAACTGCCATGGGCCAGCTGCAGCTTGACTGGCTCAATGTGGCATGAGGCGTTTTTCCCGCGGGAAGCACCGTGCCTGAAGAAAAAGTCCCTGCAGGCTCCAAAGGACACTGATGCGATGGGACTCCGTGGAACCAATTCTCTCTCATCATCTCGATGTTCACCTATGTGATCACAGCCATCTTTATATCTGAGAGGGGGAGGATTAAATTAGCTCTTCCATCCACTGTACAAGCATATGCCAAGACACTGCTTTATTGCAGCATATTTATTTTTTATACACATACAGAGACTATTACGGGAAATCAAATCTTAATTTAGTCACAAATGAGTCTAGCATTCTCACCCTCGTGGATGATTTTCTACCACACAAAATTGACACACACACTTGCGAGTTGGTTATCTGGATGAGAAAGACAGAGGGGCTCGCTTGAAATTGAACCGCCTTAGCCTCATAGACAAATCTGCATTTTGTGCAGGGCTCGAATGGAGGAGAGTTTCCTGTGACTTCGTTATACTTCTGCAGAACACACTGAAAATGTGCCACGTAGTGTGTTCCAGACTAACGCACATCTTGGGGAGAGGTTCGTCCCTAACTTCTCTCTCTCTCCTCCTCAAAAATGACCCAGTTCAAACACCAATTCTGTGCTTGGTTTGCAATCACTGGGATGCCACTCAGCTGAGTCTACTCCTTGTCTCAACAGGTGTGCAAGGATCATAGGATTGGGTCCCTGGTGTTTAATCATTCAGCAGTAACAGAACTATCTCCATTTAGATAATGTTTTCACCCCTCAGCCAAAACTACGAGAGGCACTAAAGAAAGAGCTTAGCTTTTTGAATGCTTTCCAGTACTCTATTAGCTAGTTAACTCTACATTGGAAGTTGCGTATCCACAAATCCCTTTTCAAGAGTAAAATGAAGTGGCGAATAACTGCTTAATGATACCTGACTAGTAAAATGTCCTACAATCAAACTGTTGTTTGAACAGAGATGCTTACTGCCATCAGAAATCAAATATTACCTGTTAATAAGAACAAAATTAAAAGTGTGTCCAGTGGCCAGGGTGATGCGCTCTCTGATACGGTTGAGAACTGGAATCCATAGCTTAGGAGAAAAGGTAACACCTGAGTAAGTGTATGTTAACTCAGGATCTCCATATGTCACCTGCTTCCTTGGGATGTTGTGCCATTTGCCAAACACTTGCACTTTGGTAAGATCACCTGTTTGAATAAGAGTTTGGGAAAGTCAAGACCGATTTATCCTCCTTTTAGACAGCTAAGTAGCAGTGGGTTTTTTTTAAAGTTTAGAGTTAGGTCAAGTGCAATTATCAATCATTCCTACTGCAGAGCAGAGTATAACATATTCCCTGCTGTGCAGCCGCTCTGAGTGTGACTTAGAATGACAATGCCACTAAATGGTGCTGCACATCTTAGCTTAAAAACCTGTCCATTTTAAAAGTGTTGCTGTCCAAAAACAATGACAGGAAGCTGACTAACACTAGAGATCTACATGTATGAGACTCCTCATGAGGGATGGAAATAGCACCGTGCTCTGGGCTTCTCCCACATCACTCCCTGTTATTGAATGGGCGGGGATAACTGTAAAATAACAGAACTAAAACTTGAATCCTTTCACCTTTCATGTGTTTTGCATGTTTCATGCTGTGGCCTTGATCATGCATAAACTTAAGAATGTGAGGTTGCAGGGTAGCAGGGTAGCATATGCATATGCTCTAATAAATTTGTTAGTCTCTAAGGTGCCACAAGTACTCCTGTTCTTTTTAAGAATGTAAGTGAGCCCACTGAATTCATGTGCTTAATGTTACGCATATGCATATTTGAAGGATCTAAGCCTACGTTTGCCACTTACCCACTATGGGCCTGATCATGCAAACACATCTACCCGTTGGGACCTTTAATCCCATTAAAGCCAATGGGTATCCACTTAGAAGTAAGAGTCTGAGTGTACAGACTGTATGTAGGATTGGGCCTTCTGCGTAAAAACTTCCTCCCACCTATCCAATCCTGCACTGAAGTCATAAGGCAGAATGTGTCATGCCAATTAGAGATGGAGAGACATTAGGTCTGTTCGTCTGTTTACCTTCAAAATATTCCACTTCCTTTTCCAGCTCCTGGAAAATCTTGTCAGCCTCAGTTTTGCCGAACAGGATCTTGTAATCGCAGTTCAGACCCTCAGCCCGGATTTGCGTCCATGGAGAATGCACCAAGGACTCATCTGCACCTGGCATTTCTGACCGGGGCCTTTTCTTCTCTCCCCCATCTCTCATGCAGTCCAGCCCTCCTCCCGTCATCTCTAAGGGTTCTTGTTTGTTCTTGCCCGGGGAAGGCCTTTTGACCAAGAACTTATCCATTCCTAGCTGCCCCTAAGAAACAGTCATCAGCCTGCAACTAAAAGGCCTGATGGGATTTCACTCTTGTTAGATTCTGGGCTGCGTGGAACTACAGTGGCCTGGGAAATTTTAAATGCTTCGTTGAACACCTGTAAAATCCTTGCTCCCAAGCAACAGAGACTTAAAACTACCTTAATATGACTCCTAACAGATGGGGGATCGCTGCACCTCTGTGGAATGGAGAACCGGCTCCAACGCACTCAGTCATTGCAGGGTCATCCTCAGAGTCTTGGCAATGCTCCTAGCGCCAGACAGATCGTTACTTAGGACTCCACTGAAACTGGCCTGGCTATCAGCTCACTAAAGGCATCCAGGCCACAGAAACAGCTCCTGCAGGCCTCATTTCCAGCAGCAATAGCTACTTCCCTCCCACCACTTCCTGTCTGAGACACAGAGCCAAATGTTCCACCCTTGCTCAGCCCTCCCACCCAAGCAGATTGTTTTGCTCTGTAAGGCTTGTAGCAAGGTCCCCTGGCACCACCTACTGGATCTTCTTAGAAGCATTTATAAATGACTAGAAACCACTCTCAGCCTAATGATTACTGAATCCACCACATTTATATGCATCATAAGTCCTGTTTAACAGGTGACTGTGCCAAACAATGTTATTTATTTTGTATGGCTTTGAGGGCTTCATATAAGGCAAGCAATCAGGCACTCAATTCGGGCACTTTTATCCTAATGTGCATAGCTTAGTAAACAATCATTACAGCATTTAGCTCCTAATGTTCTGGCCTAGCAAATTTAAGGCTGGATTTCATGCACACATTCCAGGATCCATGTCACAGGTGTATGTTCACTCCTTTGCCAACAAAATGAACGAATGAGGGATTTATCTCACATCAGTTATATTATTAATCATTTTTATTAACGTTGTGCCCGAGGGCCAATCAAGAATGGGGCCCCATAGGCAGGTGCTGTACAAACACAGAATAGTAGACAGTCCCTGTGCCAGAAACCTTACAATCTAAACAGACCAGATAGATCCAGGGTGGGGAAGGGGTAGAACACACCAGCAGAGTGAATGATGGAATGATAGCAAATGCCATGTTAGAACCACATTTAAAAAAAATTATATTTATTTATTTTTGGTGTAGATGTATTTAGGAGGGAATTGGCAAAATGCAGAGGGAAGGGGGACAGGGTAGAGGAGGGTAAGAGGGGCATGCATAGAGTGAAACAGGTGCAAGTGCTATTCACAGTTGTACTGACAGGGCCATGGTGTTCTGGGCCCCTAGTGTCTTGGGCACAACTTAAGAGGCAGCATGGTTACTGCATAAGGAGATAGACTGGGACTCAGAAGATGTAGGGCCTATTCTTAGCTCTGCCACTGACTTGCTGGGTGATCTTGGGTAAGTCACTTTCCTCTATTTAAAGTGTAAACTCAGAGCTGGCGGGGGGGAGGGGGGAAAGCAGGGTCTATATAATGATTAGCACAATGAGGTCCTAATGCGTTTAGGATACTAACTAGGTGCAGTCATATAAACAACAACGAGTAACTTTAATTGTAATGCACACAAGTCAGTTTGTCCAGGCAATCGCACCTAAATAAGTATTCAAGTTCCTTTTCCAGCTGCAAGCACCTGGCACCCACATGCTCTACAATTTATTACCATCCAAGTGCTCTTATTCCCCCCCCCCCCGAGTGGCTTTGTGATTAAAGCACTAGAGTGGGTGGCACGACTTTGGGGTCACACACCTGGTTCTGCCACTTTAACCTCTCCATGTAAGTTAGGGATAATAGCACTTCATGGGTGTTAAAGAATCACAGAGTTTTGTAATTCTTTAGGGAGCATCTCAACTTAGCCTCATCACTGCTACTTCCACTATAAACCTGCTTCCTCGTGTCATTTCCATTTACTTCTTCACTTGTTTTCTGTCTTCCCTGTTGATGTTTTCAGCTTCCTCAGACAGGGTTGATAGAACGAGTTACTTAGCATTTGTAAAGAGCTCTGAGGAACCTGTTATGCAAGAGTTAAGTTATTTTATTTTGCTTGCCAAATAGCCCTTGTTCTGATCCGTCAAAACCCACCTGTGTTGCAATGCACCGAAGCTACAGAGAGATGTGATGGACAGCCTTAAAGTGCCAATTTTTGAGTTTGTAAACAAGATCAGGGCAGTCCGTTTGGAGTTGAGGCTCATGTCCCTTCCTGGCGTCATCCCCTTGCGCTATTCAGGCCCAGCACATCCAAGGAAAGACTTATTAGTTACCAACCGTTTCTATTACGGCAGCACCCAAAGGGCTGTCAGGGTCTCATGGGGCTGGGTTGCAGCCCACCTCCCCCAGAGGCCCTGTAATTACCCCCCTCAGTGCTGCTTCCACCCCATCTGCCTGCAGGCCACACATCATCCACCCCCTGCTGGAAATGGGATTAGAATGAAACTGGGGTGAACCCATCAGAAGGGGGGGAGACAGGGTGCATGGGGGTGCCACAGGGGAGGTGGGGAGACACACAAAGTGGGGGAGCAGGGAACCCGTGGGGGGGGGGGAAAGGACAGACCCAAAGGTGGGTGGGTCACTGAGCGGGGTGGGGGGTGGTAGATCCACAGGGGACCTGAGAATGAAAACCACGGTCTCTTACCCACGTGCGTGAGCGCTGAGGGGCGGGGAGGAGACTGCCCCATTGCGCACGCGCTGACTGCCCCTAGGGACCCTCTCAAGCACGTGCTACCGCCAAGGTCCCCCTCCCCTTCTTACGCATGCGCACTCACTTGGCGCCAATTTCGGTCAGTCCTTCACCCAGGCGGCCGCCGGCCACTACCTCCGCCGGCTCCCGTGTGGGGAAGGGGCCGCCTGTCCCCGGCTAGCCGGACCCCGTGTGTGGACGGGTCCGCCCCTCCCCAGCCGGCCGGACCCGCGGAGCCCACCCGCCGCCGGCATGATCGGCCAGAAGACGCTGCACTCGTTCTTCCGCGCGGCGCCGCCGCCGAGGAAGCGGGAGCGCTCCCCGGAGCAGGGCGGGGATGCTGAGGTACGGAGGGGCCGGGCGGGACCCGGGGGCAATGCGGCCATGCTCGGCGGCCAGCGCTTAGCAGAGCTTATTTAAAAGACCCGCCGATGAATGCGGCGCCGCTTTGGGGGATTGACCAATAGGAGCGCGCTCCTTGACCCACGGTCCAATGGGAGGGCAGAGCTGGGAGAGGGGTGGGGCCAGACAACTTGGCGGGACTTCGGTAGTCACTGGCCAGTAGGGAGCGGGTTTCCATTCTCAGCGTCCAATCGGAGGGGTGGGACTGGGCGGGGTCGATACCGCGGCGAGCTCAGTCGGCTGCTCTTCATAGCGAGGGGCCAATAAGGGGAGCGGTGGCCTTGCCCTTGGCCAATGAGGAACGAGGGCGAGTGCCACGCGCGCTTTCCGTGGCTGAACATCCAATAGGAAGGGCGCTCCCCTGGGGGAAACACGCGCGGTTTTCCCGCGAAGTAGCCACGTGTTTGCGCGGCGCAGGGAGCAGTTGTCACTTAGCCCCTCCCAGGCTGGGGGGCGGGAGCCCCAAGCGCTCCGGCCACAGCCGCTCGCCTGCGGTACCCCGGGGGGGAGCAGTCCTGCCCGGCTCGCCCCGCTCCACCATGGGGCTCGCCTGCCCCTTGTTTCTCCGCGCGGGGCCGGGCCGCTGCGTGCTGCCCCCTCCCAGTAGCCGTCTCTTGTGTCACGACCTCCAGGCCAACTTCCCCAAAAAGCTGAAGCTGGTGGAAGATGATTCGGGGAAGGCCTCGCCCCGCTCCCCTCCGCTGAGCCCCGAGCAGCAGGAGCGGATCCGCAAGAACAAGGAGGCGGCTCTGCAGAGACTCGCGTCGCGAAGCGTCCCCGCGGGGTTCGGAGAGGGCTGGAGGCGGCAGCTGGCGGGGGAGTTCACTAAGCCCTACTTCTCCCAGGTGAGTGAGCGCAGGAGGCTTTGCCCGGGGGAGCAGCGTCCCGCTGCAGCAGCTCGTCTGTAGCTGCTCGGTGCCTGCCCCTCTCCCTCGCCTGTACTGACCGCGCACCCCCTGCTTCCTCTAGCTAATGGCATTTGTAGCAGACGAGCGAAAACGTCACACCATCTACCCACCCCCGCAGCAAGTCTTCACCTGGACGCAGATGTGCGACATCAGAGATGTAAGTGCCCCTGGGGCGACCCCTGCAGTGCCGGGGCGAGAGTCGGGATTTGCTGCTTTCGGATGTTTTTGATAAAAAGATGAAAGCTGTATTTGTAATCAGGCCCCAGGATGCCATGCATTTGTTCGACTCTCATGGGTTTTCTGCCTGGAAACCCAGTGCTTTAGAATGTGAACCCTGCTTTGTCTCCTGTAGTGTTTGTGTACTTTGCCCTTGTTTTCTCATCCAGATACTGAAATAGGGATTTCTGCATTGGTTGTTTCCATCCATGACTGCAACATAATGCTCTTAAAAACGTTAGCTGTCTTCTTGGCCTTTTTTCCCCTCGCCCTCCCCATTTCGGCACTGCCTTCTTTCAGATGCAACTTGGCTGTGATCTACAAATTTTTACTTTGTAGCAATACATAAAATTCTAGATATTTTGAGATATTAAGAAATATTGTTGTGTTATCCGCACTAATTAGTGTCTGTGTTCAGGTAAAGGTTGTCATCTTGGGACAAGATCCTTATCATGGACCCAGTCAAGCTCATGGACTTTGCTTTAGTGTCCAGAGACCTGTTCCACCTCCACCTAGGTATGGTTATGCTTTATCTCTTTAAAAGTCTGCCACTATTTACTGGGTAGGTTATATATAGGCATACAGCTGTTTGTGAGTTTGCCTTTCTGACTGCCTTTGAGGTAATTGTTTTGTGATTTGCTGAAAAATTAATTTTATAACATATGACAGAGTATTTCTACTTGTTGGGGAGCAGAAAGATGTCAGAAGAATGACTCGTATTGAATTTTAAGGTGTATACTTTCTGGGAAAGATCACCTTGATCAGTGGGTCTATTAGTCCTCACAGAGAGCGCGCTGATCACAACACGTCATTCGTGTTCTTCTAGCCAATCCTTCAGCCACCCACTGACCAGGCTGTCAGTGGCACCAGACACTCAATTGGCATAGCGCACCGCAACCCAGGACTGCTGAGCGATCCACCAGCCTCAGCCGCCCAAGTAGCTGGGATTACAGGCGCACGCCAGCACACCCAGAGCCTTCTGGGAAAGAATTACTACAAAAATAAATTGGTGAATTCTGCATAGATTTCTGGCTCCTCCAAGGTGGTGATGTATTCCCAAGTATTTAGGGTCCAAACCTACAAAATTGGGTTTCCATGCAGATCCAATTGTAGTATCAGGGCCTTACACAGGGATGACCTGCAGCCTGATGGCACAGAAGAGCCATTCTTGTCTTGGTTTCACAGAGGTCTTTATTTTCTAAATTGGATTGGATTAAACTTGCTTGTCTTCCTGTATTGCATACAGACACCATTCTGTGGCCCTATTCACTCAGGCATCCATCCTGCAAATCCTTAAGCAGATGCTTAACTTCAAGGAGATGTGTGGTCCCATTGCCTTCAGTAAGCATTTGCATAAAAGGCAGCAGTATCAGGGACGTGGTATTAATTAAAAAGATAGGTAAAGAAAAGGACCTGTCATATACATCAGATAAATCAGATGACTATAATTTTCCTAAATAGGAATTGGATGACACATCTAGAATGCGAGATCAGATTTTTAGTTCTTGGTAAAAGTTCCAATTGTAATATACAAAATCATTAACTTGTCTATTTGATAATTGCACAGAAATATTCTAAAAATCTCTTCCATTATTTTTGTTTGCAGTTTAGAAAATATTTACAAAGAGCTGTCTGAAGACATAGAAGATTTCACCCATCCCGGCCATGGAGATCTAACTGGGTGGGCCAAGCAAGGTAATCAATCCGTTCATCCTTCCTGGGTTCTTCATTTAGACCGTGTCTGTACTAGCTCTTATGTTGGCAAAACTTTTGTCACTCTGAGTGGCATAAGTATTGCCAGCATAAGCGCTCGTGTGCACAGCGTTATGTCTGTGGGAGATGCTCTCCTGCTGACATAGCTACTGTTGCTCATTGAGCTGGTTTTATTATTTCGAAGGGAGAGCTCTCTTCTATCAGTACAGCTGTGCCACTGTAAGCTTTTCAGTGTAGACATGGCGTAAGTGGGGATTTTCCTCCTCAGTGAGTGGGTTGTAGTAGCAATGTTAATCTAGCTATTGGTACTTTCCAAACTACGTGGCTGAGATTTATTAAAAGGAACCATTTAAAACCCCCCCTGCCTTTTAATGTTCATAAAGTGGTTAAATAATACTGAGTCAAAGCATGTAAAAAGTGAGCCTGTGCTTATGCACAGCTTAACCACGTCAGCGTTGACCTTATACATACACAATTGTCTTCATGTTCTCCCGACAAAGCATGTGTGCAATGTGCTGGCCTTTTTAACAAAGAAGAGTTCACAATTTTTCTTGAGGTGTATTCTCTCTAATGATTCTTGCAAAAATCTACTCGCCTGGGGGAATAACTTTTTGATGGGTGAGTGAAATAGCATCCTTTTTATTTATTTTATTTTGCTTTTTAAATAATGGTAAAATGTCTGAGAAAATATTATGCTTGGCTGCAGGTTGGAAAACCTTTGTGATAGCTGTGTAAAACTGATGACCACTCCCCAACAAGCATACAGCTTAATTGTAATGAATGATTATATGATGTCATTACTGAAAATCTCATGAAGGTCTCAGAGTTCATCTCTAACTTCCGTGGAGTGGCCTAGGAAGGTTGTGGAATCTCCGTCATTGGAGATTTTTAAGAGCAGGTTGGACAAACACCTGTCAGGGATGGTCTAGATCAGGGGTTGGCAACGTTTGGCATGCGGCTCGCCAGGGTAAGCACCCTAGCGGGCCGGGCCAGTTTATTTACCTGCTGACGCGGCAGATTCGGCCAATCGCGGCCCCCACTCGCCGCGGTTCGCCGTCCCGGGCCATTGGGGGCGGCAGGAAGCGGTGCAGGCAAGGGATGTGCTGGCCGCGGCTTCCCGCCGCCCCCATTGGCCCAGGACGGTGAACTGCGGCCAGTGGGGGCCGCGATCGGCCGAACCTGCCACGTCAGCAGGTAAATAAACTGGTCCGGCCCGCCAGGGTGCTTACCCTGGCGAGCCACCTGCGAAACGTAGTCGACCCCTGGTCTAGATAATACTTAGTCCTGCCATAAGTGCAGAGGACTGAACTAGATAACCTCTTGAGGTCCCTTCTAGTCTTATGATTCTAGTGTTAATGATACTGACTCCGCATTATAGTGGTAAATCTGTTTATGCAGGCATGCTGTAACTTTAAAGGAAAACTCCATTAAAGCCTATTAATTTACAGAAACTATATTTAGCCCCTATATTTATCCCCTAAATGGGTCTATTTCTTTCATGGGTTTCTTAATAACTTATTTTCTCCCTACTTCGACAAATGGATTGTTTGAAAACTCTGTACTGGTATCTCTCATGGATAGTTTTCCCATGAACAAAAGATTAAATGATTTTTTTACCATTACAGATCCAGCAAAAGACTGGAAGAGAACTTACTACTTTGCAAACTAATTCATGTTTTCTCTGTCCACACTGATATGTACATGTCTTGTTTGTGATTAGGAGTACTTTTGCTCAATGCTGTCCTCACAGTCCGAGCACACCAACCTAATTCCCACAAGGAAAAAGGCTGGGAACAATTCACTGATGCAGTGGTGTCATGGCTAAACAATAATTTGGATGGACTTGTCTTCATATTGTGGGGAGCTTATGCACAGAAGAAAGGCATCTCTATTGACAGGGTATGGTTTAATTTTTCCATATTTCTAGAAGTCTTATTGCTTCTTGCTTCACTTGGGACATTTTTGGTAGGATGCCATCCAGAGGGGGCTTTTGGTCATAAGTGGAAAAAATGGTTGCTGCTGCCTACTATTCAATACAAAAAGCTAGTAGACAGTTAAGGGACTCAAGGCAGGTTGTGCCTGTCCACTTCTGTCACCTCTTTTTGTTCCAAGAGTGCTTATCCTCTAGGAACAAGAACAATCAGTGTGGAAGAAATTAAGATACTGTTGTGTGAAGAGGCTCAACATTATGATGTGTAGTTTATCTCCTGCAGGAAGCTTCCCAGAACAACTTAAACTCTTTGTTATTGCTGTTTATTAGAAATGCAGCCATTTATTGAGTGCAGAAAGCCTGGGCTTCATGGCAAACCTATGTGCTCTTGTTTTTAACTCGAACGACGGAGAGATACTTGCAATTTCATTTCTGCATTTGATAATAGCACAGATGAGCAACTTCCATCTAGGATCTGAAAACCTGCCAAGTTTCTCATTCTTTTGTTATCTCCAACTTCTTACAGAAACGTCACCATATTCTACAGACTGTCCACCCCTCGCCTCTCTCTGTGCACAGAGGGTTTTTTGGTTGTCGGCATTTCTCTAAAACCAATGAACTGCTGAAGAAGTCTGGCAAGAAGCCCATTGACTGGAGAGCACTCTGAGCTACAAAGATGAATTTGGGAGTGTAATCGGAAGTAGCCCTTATATCAAGGATCATCCCATTCCTGAAAAATTGGGCTGCATGAGAATTATTCTTTAGACTTGGTCTGGCTGAAAAACAAAATGGCCTACTTTGCAGAAGTGCTGCCTTTAAGTATCTTTTTTACATACTGTATATGTTTAAGGGGAAAACCAGAGTTTGATATAAAGAATAATGAAACTTTTAGGTTGTCAAATTTTTTTAAGCTGAAGTCTGTTGAGCCTGTTCTCAAACCAAAAACCACGTATGTTCTTTGCTCTAATGGGACTATATAGGGAATTCTCATATTGAGCTAAACTCATAAAAAATTCAGTTCGTGAGCATCCTTTTACGGTTAGTGAAACACATCTTATTTGCTATTTTCCCCCCGTATTTTCCCATGTGTAAACCTAGATTTTATGTTTGGGTAAAATGGAAGCACCTTTATACTCTTACAGCAAAAAAGCTAGTTACTGTTTGTTCTGCTAAAGATCTGTTTAACCCATTTTCATTTTCCAGATGTCGATGTATTTGTGCTTTAAAGATGGTTTTCTATCAGGCAGCTGGACTAGGTGTGTGGTCTTACTGAACACGCCTTTGAACTCCCTGAGGATTTCAGGGCTAATATCCCAGACAATTGGGGGAAGTTATGCTAATATTTGTGATGTTTCTCTTTTTTATATGCAAAGTACTTTATTGTGAGTTTAATACTATCAAAGTTCCATTGGGCATAACAGCTCCTTCTAACTACCACAACAGCCTGACTTTCAGAAAAAGTGTTCTCATGTTATTTAGTATGTGTCTTTTGTCACCTGCATATGTACCTGCTGATGACAGCTGAACTTCAAGGTGATCCTTCAGGATGGTATTAGAACCTTTCATGTCACTCTTCAACATGTTTGAATGTACAGTAAAATCAGGACGCTTCAGATATAGAATTTGGTTCTGTGCATTTCATAGTTATGAATTAACATAATTGTCTTCATTTCACTTTTTTGAACCTCCTCTCATCAAGTGTGTATCTTTCTCCCACAGTTTTACTTCCACTCAGAGCTAGTCTGAAGTTGGAGATGCCTAGCATCTCTAAAGTTACATCCCCTGAAGAGTTAAATCTGTTCTTTAGCATGTCACAGGGGGCAACAATCTTGTTCATAGTCACCATTTAGCATCTGGTTACATTGTGCAAACCTATTTCTCGTGCCATACTGATCCAGCAATATTTGCTCAGTTAAAACTCCCATTGAAAACAATAGACGTTTTGCCTGAATAAGATCTACAGGAGTTGGGTCATCTAGTTCAAAGTGGATTATTGCCATTTCTTTTTTTATTTTTTATTTTCAGTATGTTGCAAACTGCAGTATGGAAGTGACAGATCCTTTTATCCATGATCATTTTGCTCACTGTTTGCCACCGTGGTGGCTGGCTCCAATAGAAATTGAAGATCTCATGCTGCTCCCACAAAGTTGGTGACAGAACTCCCCTTGATGTCAGTGGGAGCAAGGTGGGACCTTGATGAAATTCTAGGATTTCAGCTCTAGCTCTGAATTAATTGATACTTTTCTATTAACTTTCACTGATAAGAGAAAAAGTTTAGTTTATCCCTTCTGTGAAATTGCATCCTTATTTTGTACTATACTAGTACATTTTACACTAGTATCTATGTATGGAGAAGCCATTTCTGAATCTTTGTCCCAGTAGGTAACACTAGTACAAAAGAAAAGGTTCTATATGTTTTCTGTATATATTGTTTAACCATGGTGTTGGTTTTTAAATAAAAATTCTACTTTCTTTATGCTGTTGTGCTGGAATCATTTACTTAGCTCCCCATGTTAAGTTCCTCTTATCATAAATGCTTTCTCTTAGAAGTGTGCTGTAGACTGTTTTCTAAAAAAATACTGATATTAAACATAGTAATCTTTTGAACTTGAACTCTTACTTCCAATTCTCCATCCTGCTTTGTTTTCACGGACCTATTTTTTCCCTCAAAACATTTTGGTACTTCTCAATTCTGCAATTCAAATGAAAATAAAACGTAGTGGGTCACCTCATCCAAATCTTTCTATTGTAAAAACAACAAGGAGTCTAGTGGCACCTTAAAGACTAACAG